GACAAAGGTGGTACTCCAATGAAGGAACAGCAACACGGGCGTAGATGAAAAAAAAAAAAGAAAGAAAAGAGATGTTTATTGTAAAAGAGAATACACTACTGAAAGACAGGGACAGCTGTCCACCACCCAAGACGAGACGCACCCATTCGGCACAGCCTCGTCTGGGTTCCTCTCTTCCCGAAGGCAGAACGTTCGACCAGCACAGCTGGAGACGAATTTCCAATTAATTTTCGAAGCAAGGATATTTACCTTACCTCCCGTGATCAGGATGTGGCACAAGGCCGCTTTTTAATGCGGGGCAAACCCGATACCGTAGGCTCAGGTAAAAAATTCCCCGTAGATCCCGTATACACGTGGTCCGGTAGGTGTCTACTACCCCAGACGAGAGTCTACCCTTCGGCATAGCCTCGTCTGGGTTCCTTTCTGCGCGAAGGCAGAGAGTTTGGGCAGTACAGCTGGAGACATATCTCCAACTAATTGCCCAAGCAAGGGTATATACATTAATTTTTTTAATGCGGGGTCAAAACCGAGCCCGTAGGCACGGGCAAATAGCCCCGTAGACCCTGTAAAAGACGGAGTCGGGTAGCTGTCTACCACTCCAGACGAGAGTCTCCCCTTCGGCATAGCCTCGTCCTGGTTGCTCTCTGCTCGAAGGCAGAGAGTTCGACTAACACAGCTGGAGACGAATTTCCAACTAAGTGCCGAAGCAAGAATATTTGCCAACCGCCCCAGGGGGTCAGATGTGGCACAAGGCCGAATTTAACGTCGGTTATCAGAGCCCGTAGGCTCGAGCAAAAATTCACCGTAGACTGCATAAAAAACGTGGTCGGGTAGCTGTCGAGAACCCAGACGAGACTCTGCCGAAAGGCAGATTCTCGTCTGTGTTCCTTTCCGCCCGAAGGCAGAGTTCGACCAGCTGGAGACGAATCTCTAAGTAAATGCCGAAGGGAGTCCCCAGGTATATCCAGTGCTTACTATATATAGCCATTGATATAGTCAGTCTACATAGACGATATAGCAGTGTGGGACATTCCATTACAACAGTTGCATAAATCAAATTAGGGAACATCTAGTAAAAAACAAAACAAAAAAAAACGATATTTATTAACTTTTCTGAAATACGGCTCACCACTACTTCCTCTTCTGTGTGGATCATGGAAAGGGAATCGAGAATAATCAAACAGTACGGATTAAAGACAGAATTTGTATCGGAATTGCAAAAAGAATTCAAGAGAAGTTCGAAGTGTACAATGACTGGAACGTTGTGAAATTAACATAGAAGTTATGGTCACACCAAGCCATTCCAACTTTAAAATGATGAGACTTTGCTGCCAATCTAGTACTGTTGGGGATTAGTGAATATGTTTGGTTAAATCAGAAGGAATTTTTAGGTGGCGTGTTCGTTAACATTCATCCACAACAAATAATAAACGAATATTTAGAACAGGTCATGCAAAGCAGAGTTTAAAACAAAAACAAGTAAAATACACAATAATTAGACGGTAGTTTATCTGCAATTTAAATATATACAAATGAGTTATGAATTGGTGGTTTGTTGTATATTGATGTAATAAGACATGTAGTTTGTTGTTGAGTATGTTTGAATGCTTAAATCAGTGTTTTGATGATTTGTTGTAAGAATTAAACAGTTTGCTGTTCAACGTATAAAAGTGTTCGATTTTACAGTTCAGATGTTAGTGTGTGTATACGAGTGTTATGTAAAATATTCTTAAGTTGTACGAAGTTGCGTACCTTGAACTGTTGATTGTTAAAAGTTTTGTTTGTTACTGTTACTAATATGTAGTGAATATATATTTCACTTTCTCAAGTAAAGTAAATGAACTTTTGAGAAGTTTGTTTAAAAGAGAGATTGGGTATGCCAAAAGGTTGTTGAGTCAGAAGTTAATTCGCGCGGAAAAGTCAAAGTTTAAACTGGCGTGAATTGATTGGCATCTCTCTGAGTGCGCAATTCTGACTGGTAAGTTGGTTCGTATTTCTTTCTTTTATAAGTTCTGGAAAGGAAAAATAGGCTCAAACACATTTAAGCGCCAAAGGCATTTTTCACGTGGATACTTAGTTTTTTTTAAAGGCTGTTAGCCAATGAGAAATTGAGTTTGTCAGAACTAGTGTTTTGATTGGATAACAGGTGTGTGGGTGTAAGAATGGATTGTTCTGCAAAGGGGTGAAAAGGTAACGTGTATTATTCCACAGTACTACGCTTAAATTCGTAAAGTCTAGGTATACTAGTTCCTGAAAATGGTTGTAGAAAAGTTCAGAGAAGCTACGTTACGGCGATTTGAAAGTGACTGAAGCCGAGATGACAGGTCAAGACCAATAACATTGCAGACTCTTCTATGGATTTTGTCACGTATCTCTAAATATATAGCAGAACAAGCAGACAAGATGTGGCAGTAATATTCAAAAGAAAGACGAACGGCAGACTTAAAATGAACGACATATTCTGGCGAGAAATCATCATCATCTTACGGCCACAACCGAGATTGAACTCACCAATACTTTAATTGGTGTTGTTCATAATCATGTCAAATAGCTGAATTCTTGATGCTTCGCTAGGGCTATAAAGGGTGTTTTTCTTTCGTGACACCATCACTAAACGGATTGCCAACCAAGGCTCAGAGAGACTCCATTCACCCTCTTCTAAGCGCAGGTTTGAATTCAGAGTTTTCATTCTCATAGACCAGTTGCCATCCAAGGCTATTGAACCCAGTCTGTCCTGCTATTTACCCATAGCTGGAGGGAGAAGAAAGAGGATTCACGCCTTTCCCAAGGGTATTAGCACGTAAGTGAATGTAATGGATTCGACTGGAATTCGAACTCGGCTATCCGATTCCTCAATCCAAGCCGCTATCCATTACTCCACCGGGCGAGACATACTATTTAGCACAACATATTAAACCAACCATCAATTGATTCAATATACTCTTTACCATTTTATATCAGCTGAAAACGTTAGACCGAATAGGCGCAATGAATCACATTCTCCTGGAGAGTTAAACTGCCAGTTTTCTGTGTTCGGTTCTTGTAACTCTTTGACATTTCTTCCGTAATCATCTAACATCTTATGCGAATAACAAATGCCAATCTCTTGGTAGTTTGAATAATATTGTAATGCAATGAATATATTGATTAGTTTCGTAATTGTGTGCTTGACCTCGAAGAAAAACTGTTTTGTCTTGACTCATTTCATACTCCAATATGTCAGAATGATTTTCCTCTCGTATTTGAACAAGGATTGGGAATATAATCCGAGAGTATTGCTCGTGTTAGCAAAGAAATCTTCCTTAGGTGATCGATTTTCTCTCCGTATGCAAAACTAACCAAAGTAATGTAGCTTCTCTGTACTTTCTATGTAAATCTTGTCATGGTAACTGTACATTTGTTCTAACGAACTTCCCTCTAGGGTACTTTACGAATTTCAGCGCCGTACGAGATTGGCGGCAAGGCCTCATCATTTTACAGTTGAATTGTTTAGATGCAACCGTAAGTTCTATCCTAACAGTTTCTTCTCTGGCACTTATCCCTTGTATTTCGGCTTCTTGATGACTAGTCATGTTTAATCTATCAAACATTTAAGTGGAATCTCAGTCGCCATTTTCTATCTTCTTATTCTTCTTATTTTAGCGTTCTCTCTTCTTAATAAGGCTTTCTTTTGTTTATTTTCTTTGACATTCAGTAACTGCTTGTGTCTTAGTGCCTTTATTGCCTTGCTTGATGGTGAAATGATTAAAAAAAGAAAAGATTTGGAAGAATAAAAAAAAACAACAACTAAAATGTATATCACATGTACTTCGAACACTCAATTGGACATAATCAAGATGTTGACATTAAACACTACTTCAAACAAAAGGTTAGGAAGGAAACTGTCACCAATACTGGAAAGGGTGATAAAAGGTTCTCGACTTGAGAAAACTGTTTTTCCTAAGAAATTTTTTAAGAGAAAGATTTTATAAATTTTTACCGACAGTAAAACTGGTTGCTCGGTCAACAAATGCCAAATAATTCCTTATAAGGAAACAGCTATTATTGCCATTAATATTCATTTTAGTGTATATTGATACTGTTTTTGATTTCAGTATATCTGCATGTTTACAAAAGCTGTTTATCCAATGGCTTATTTGATGTCATCTTGTCAAGGGGTAAAATGATCGGGAAAAAAGATTAATAGTATTAAGAAAATCTGAAGATTAGTTTCTACAGGACGTGGAAAATCATGGCTCTCCACGATTTCCGATCCTCTATGGCTCTTAGTAATTTTTGTCTTTACGTTATCCGTACCGATTTTTTTTTCTGTTCTCCATTCACAGAATGTCATTAATTATTTTACTCGCTATTTCTTTTCTGTATCTCTTGATTTCAATACATCCTATGAGTGTCAAATTCTCCAAGCCTTGTTTTCTTGCCATGTGCCCTAGAAATTCCACGTTTGGTTTGTTTGATTCGCTAGCAGGGTATTTCAAACCAGAAAATAATTATAGATTGTAAGGTCTTGTTGATATAATAGTTTAGTGATACAAGTTTTACTAATTAGACCATAGCTGGTGGAGGGGGGGTTCATACCTAATAATAATTTTATAAAGAAGAAATTATCATGTGGATATAAAGTGGAGGATCACTCCAATATTACAATTAATATAAAAACTGATCCCCCACTTTTTGACCACGACAGTTTCCATCGATTTTTATTCCAAGAGATGCCTGTGATAGTATTTCATGCATTAATTGATTCGTTTTCTACGGCTTATCATCCCTTTGCTGGTAATTAAAAGCCAGAAACTACTCTTAGATTGTAAGAATTTGTTTAGGTATGATTTAGCAATACAAGTATTACTAATTAATCCATATCTGCGGGGAGAAGAAGTGGATTCATACCATTCCCAAGGATATTTGCCCGTAAGTGAATATAACGAACCCAGAGATGAAATAAGAGCTCCTCTCTCCGATGAACAATTCTTATACATTACACTATCTTCATATTCAAGCTTACAGCGGCTGGAATTTCCAAGCAGTCACCCATCTAGGTACTGGCCACACTCAACATTGCTTACCTTTGGTGATCGCACAGGAACCAGTGTTTCAACTTGATGTGGCCGTAAGTATATCAATTTTTTTTTCTTTCTGATACTAAGCACAAGTGGCATTTTCATTCCAATTTGATTAAAACTCATTAATTACATGTTTCGTTCATGGTATTTGCAGCATCCCTACGTTAGATCATATCTCTAGTACCCCCAAGTTATTTCTTCATCTTGAGTTTTTTAAGCTCATTTTCATTCGTTGACGATGAAATGATGTCGGTAGTGAAGAAATCTAAATGTTTTTTCAATGTATTCCCGGCTTCTTAAGGGCTCTGACGTAGAATCCTATGATTAATCCGGATTTTAATTTATTTTTGATTGTGGTGGGAGTAGAAATTAATTAGGATGTTTTGTTATTCAGTTTACGATCAAATTTAACTCTAATTTTTAATAGTTACGTATTAATAAGATGTCGAAGAAATGTAGACATTTGTTTATTCCAAATTTACGTGTGAATTCACTGAAAGGTCAACGTTATAATGTTTTTTTTAATGATACCTAATGGACTTATATTACGAGGATATAATGAATGGACATCATCGTTGTATCAGTTTTTTTCAGAATGGTATGTTTAAATGGACTGTAATCTAAACATTTCAGCAAAAGACAAGTATGGACAACATTAATAGGTGATTCCATAGGTAAGCTGAAATTTGGTTATAGAAATTTTTATACAAAGATTAGAAAAATTGGTTAGTAATTCATTCACATAGTTGTATAACTTTATGGACAGGAAATGGTAGTTTTTATTTTGGAGTTTTCAGTTGGTATCTTACTACGTTTAGGCATTTTATAACGGCTATATTTGGGTATAAAGATTTAATATTTAAACTAGTTCTCCATATTTCTGTTTCATATCCTCCGGATCTTCATCTAGAAATTGTCCAGCATATACTGTCATATGGAAGCGTGATTTTACAGAACAGTGCATCATATTGGTCTTATTTCCTAACGACATTTTCCTGTTTCTTAATATTTTGCTTAGCTTTTGGAAGGCATCTTTTGTCTGCCTATACACCTTTGGATCTCAGCGTCGCATTTTACTTTTTATGTTAAAACACTTCCTAGATATTAATTGGAGAACTGATATTACATTACAATTCAGTGCAGTTTCTAACGATGTTTTTCCTGTTTCTTGATATTCTTCTTAGCTTTTGGAAGGCATCTTTTGCTATGCCTATGCACCTTCGGATTTCGGTGTCACATTTTCCCCCTTCTGTTAAAACACTTCCTAGATATTAATTTTAGAACTGATATTACATGACAATTCAGTGCAGTTTCTAACGACGTTTTTCTGTTTCTTGATATTCTGCTTAGCTTTTGGAAGGCATCTTTTGCTATGCCAATGCGCTTTCGAATTTCAGTGTCACAATTACCCTCTCCTGTTAAGAAACTTTCTCGATATTAATAAGACGACTGATATTACATTAAAATGGATAGTACATATAACCCGAAGAGAAAATAATATCATTATCAAGATGGTGATATTCCTCATTGCTTCAAGAAATATCTTAGGAATCAAGACACTATCAATACTGAAAAGCGCGTTAAACATTTGCTAAATCTGACAAAAATATTATCCCGAAAAGTTGTTTTAATAGACGGACTTTACGCTCTTGTTAGTGACCTATAGGGCAGGCAGTCAGTCTGAATTTCTAACCGGGGAGATAGCAAGGGGAAACCGTTCTACTATCATGGCAACTTACAGTTAGTAAAGAGAAAAGGAATCTGTGGAGAGTCATGAGCGTCTACTTCCTGGAGGGAGACTGCGTTTGAAAAATTTACATAACGGTTTAAACACTTAGAAATTTTGGCACTCACGGGAATTCGAAGGCAAAAACAACGATAGGGTAAACAGTCGGTAGCCTACTAAATGAGCTTGTGTAAATGAAAGGCAGAACCAAGAGCTTATTTAAAATAAGCTGCTGACATCTACAAAGGATAGGCAATAGTGGAGAGCTATGATTGCCAATGTCTTGAAGAAAAACGACAAATGGAAGTAGAAAAGTCAGTTGTCCTCATCTTTATTGCCATGTTCACAACGTTTCGATCGCTGTACGCTTCAACCTTCTTCAGGTGAATGGAATTCCGAACTGAACATTTTATTTCGTCCACCGGGGTATTTGTTCTAGTTCCGCATGCAATGCCTCTTACGGATGCCTCATTAACTCAACTCAACTTTTTTGTTCACATCTGCCGTAGCCAGGTATTGAAATCACAACTCTTCGGGTTAAGTCACTGAATCCAACCAACTCTTTTATCCAAAAAACTTGAAGAGTTAACTTAAATAGAGATAATTGCGACATCCGGAAGAGGCATGGCACGTAAAACTAGAAAAATCTACCTCAGTAGACGAAATAAAGGGGTCAGCTCGAAATTCCAATAACCTGAAGGAGGCCAGAGCGTACGAAGGCCAAAATGTCACGAAGATGGCAATAAAGATGAAGGCAATGGTTCGACCAACGTAAATAATGTAAATAATTACAATACCTCCTCTCAGAAATATAGACACATCATGAAGAAGACCGGAGCCATCAATGGTCGAAACGTCGTGAATATGGCAACAATGATGAGCACAACAGAACGAATTATGTATTTAGCGTAAATAATTACAATACCTCATCTCAGAAATATAGAGGCATCATGAAGAAGACTGGAGCCTACAATGGCCGAAACGCCAGGAATATGGCGACGAAGATGAGGAAGACAGTTCGAACAATGCAAATAGTGTAAATAATTAAAATACCTCATCTCAGAAATATAGACACATATTGAAGGAGTGAATATGGCAACAAAGATGAGGACAACAGTCCGAATAATGTAAATAGGGTAAATAATTACAATACATCATCTCAGAAATATAGAGGCATCATGAAGAAGACCGGAGCCTACAATGGCCGAAACGTCAGGAATATGGCGACGAAGATGAGGAAGTTTATCATGAGCATAATTCGCCAGTGCGATTAGAGCTTTTGTGTCACGAGGTTGTTTGTTTGTTTTTTAGTAGAAAAACGCCTAGAGATAAAATGTGAGGCTTGAAAGGAAGAGGCTTCAAACCCAAAGTGAACACATTGCTGCAAAACTTTTATTTATTTTAATTGTGTGTGTATGTCCACGGAGATCGTGAGACGTGTTATTTTACAAAGACTAAGCGGATACTAGAGACATTATATTAGAACCTAGATGACAAATTGGCTCCAGACGGGTGTCGTGTTTCCGTTCTGTGTCGCGTCCGTCTCCTGGGACGTCTTGGCTAAATAAATAGTCTTTTATTTTCTTTTCTTCTGACAGACATAATTTGTCTTCTTATTCCCAAGAGTCTGTGGCTAATGTTCGCCACAGACCAAGCAACCAGTTAGAAGATTCCTCGATTGACCTATATACCCGTTTGACTTTCGACCAAGTAGCCAATTGGGAAACTTACTTCCGAGTATCAGGGATTTATTTCGTTAAAATCGGCATCACTCAAAAAAAAGTAACAGAACTTTCAGATCTACTGAACATTTCATGGACATAGCGGGTAAACATGGTATATATCATGGTATATATATATATATATATATATATATATATATATATATATATATATAAAAAAAAAGGCTTAAAACTAATATTCCATGGTCATAATTTATTCCATTGGAATCGTAAATACGATCCAATTCATCAGACCTACAAATTCAAAAAGAAAACAGAAAAAAAATAACTCCGGAAATAAAAATAGAATTTAGAGAGATTGTAAGTATGAGAGTGTTGGACGAATGTTAGAGTGAAAGAGAGGGGTAACAGACGAGAGAAGGTGGGAGATTAAAAATTAACAGAGAGAAGTTTTAGAGAGGTGAGTTGAAGACGGTTTAAGTGAGAGAAATATGAATGTTCCCGGATGTCTAATAAATTAAAGATGTAACCGGAAAGGATACATTTTGTGGTGACATACACACACAATAGACGATCTAATCTTAAAGATCAGAAAAAGAGGGAGGGAGAGACAAAGAAAAGAACAAGAGGGTGAAGGAGAGATGAGGGGGGAAAACTAAAACTGAAGGGCGTTTACTGAAAGGGCCGCTGTGTAATTAAGAAAATTTGAGTTGTTTTTTCTGTTTTCTTTTTGAATTTGTAGGTCTGATGAATTGGATTGTATTATGACCATGGAATATTAGTGTTTAAGCCTTTTTATTATATCCTTACTCTGTCCTGGACATAATTTTTTATTCAAAAATTATATATGTATGTGTATGCATCTATGTATATATATTTATATATTTTGCATATGTATGTGTATATTTACCACTAATATTATCTGTCTGTCTGTCTGTCTCTCTCTCTCTCTCTCTCTCTATATATATATATATATATATATATATATATATATATATATATAGGCGGCAGTTAAGCAAATAAATACTTGTAACAGTTAGTAAGTTGTGGGGACCCATGATCGGTCCAGAAGGGACGGGGTATATAGAAGAAGATTATTAATATTGGCTTTATCTTTAGTAATCTTTTGGCGCCGAGCTAGAGCAATAAGAAAACCGTCTTCCATTGCCATCTCCCTTCAGGGTGTGAGCGATCATAGCTCTCCACAATTTCCTACCTTTTGTAGCTCTTAGCAGTGTTTGATTTTACTATCTCTTCCACTTCCCATCTGACTTCTATGGGCTGTGTCTCTTCAGGATGTGAGCAATCAAAGCTCTCCACAATTTCCTATCTTTTGTAGCTCTTAGCGATGTTTGTTTTTGCTATCTCTCCAACTTCCCGTTTGACATCAATTTTAACAAGATCATTAAATATTTTTCTAGCTATTTACGTCTATTCATTTTGTTTTGATAGATGATATGTTTATGAAAATTTACAAGCCTATTCTCCTCATTATCACATTAAATTCAATTCTTTCTTAGTCTATTTTTTAATCACCTTTTCAGTCTCAATTCCATTACAACTTCATCGTTGCTCAAACGATACATTAATGTCGGTTGATGTTTCACTTTGTTTAGAAAATCAAAATGGCTCTCGGTGCGAAA